CCAGGGGTGTTTCACGTTATATCGAATTTCCGTACAAACAAACAAACAAACAGACAGACAGACAGACAGACAGACAGACAGACAGAGCGCTTTATATATAGTAAGGATTTTATCAATATTAGAATGTGGAAAATGAAAGCTCACATCATTCCTTGGCTTATCGCTGTCCACCACATCACCTTCACTACGTAGGCGCTGCCGTAATTTCACTTAAAAATTCTCCCTAATCCTCAAATCACGAGTGGAAGTTCATATAAAATATAATCATAATGTAAGTTAAACTTACCGAGTGATGCTCTTCCTAGAGCGAGACCTTCCTCCATAGACATACTTTCCCTTGAACTTTTCGCGACTTTTGAATTGTTTTCAGTGACTTCATCTTGATCTGATCGCATACGTTTTCTTCGCAAGTGCTTTTTCTCGAACCGACGACTCCGATGAGGAGTAGTCTGAAAGACCAGCTTACTGTAAATTTCCTTTCGAAAAGTTTTAACAACCCCTCACACTGCGGGCTCCTGTGTGTACAAAAAGAACGAACCGAGGATGTGTTGCATTGTGAACTTTCTTGTGCGAATATATCGCAAGCTGACTCATCTTCTTCATACGGTGCCATGTTCTCATTGGAAGTGCTAGGACACCAGAGGCTGTCAAAATCAGAAGTTGACGGCGTTACTGAAAAATGACTTTTTCTCCAATAGGTAGAAAAACTCGTCTCATTACACAAGACAAGAAGCCAATAAATCTGAAGCAAATCCCGTGCACCAATTGTAAAATTGAGCACCATCAAGTTGTGCATATGAAAGGAACCTAGCCACCTTCACCCTTGAGTCCTTGCAGCTGTACAACAAAGTAGCATACCATTCAGTGACGACTGCGATGGAGAGAATTCTTCAGCACTTTTTGTTTTCATTAGTAAAAGACTGCGACGCGATGTTTTAGTTTGCGAAGGAAATAAGATCTTCGGAGAATCGTACCAATCGATGAAGCCTAAAATGAATTCTTTGAAGTCTTAAATGAGAGTGTTTACTTAATTGATAGAACAACCGAAAACTGAGCACAAAAATGCAATAAGCGTAGCTACTAGTTCCTCACATTGAAAGTTGACTTTACAAATTTAAAGAAGCAGTTTTATTACGGTTGGGACATCATGAAAGAATAATCAATGTCCTGACCACGGATGGGGAATTCCTATTTGCTGTAGGCGAGCTACACTTAGCCTTTACCAAACAACCTTTATAAGGATCCCATGATAAAATGGCAAAGTCGGGATAAATAACATAGGTTTACAAATGCCATGTTCGTGTCCAGGGCCATAAAAGCCATTTGCAGGCGCATTTCTAACTAGTTCAATGTGTGGCGCCAAATGGCACAAACGAAACAATTTGAAGCTACTTTCACCGTTAAGAAACTGAATAATTCAGCGACGAGTTTTCACCGAGCATGATAATCAAAACTTTCGACTTGTAATATCCGAGCGCTTTTATATGAATAGTGATATGTGCAAGACAATAATGCAAAAGGGAGATTTTAAAATAATCAATTCCAAAAGGGAAAGTACCTGCAGGTCCCGGAGAAGAGTTTCCTAGTCGGGACGGAGCTGACATGTTCGTGTTCTCCTGTGACATCTTTAGAAACTGAACAGCTTTTTACAACCTAAAACAGGATGCGACAAAAAAACGCCCGACCATCACCCACACTAGGCAAATCAGCTTAACATGTACTGGATCCGCTTGTGGCTAATAAATAGGTACACACTTGAACAAGAACAGAGGCAAACAATATGTGCAACACCTAGTTATCCGAAATCGGTAGAAAAGAATCAGGATTAGCTTGAGAATTGAAGTTCAAATTGAACCCGATAAGACGTCAAAACTTATGTCTTCAGTGTATTCGCACCCGACACACACCGATTGGTACCATTTTTATTTACAGTAGGAACATAATTCCAATTTTATTTTGCAGTTTAGAGTCAGCAAAAAGTGATGCTTGTATTGATTAACTGTCAAAATTTGCGAAAAGTCATTGATAGTCGTGGTGCACGGTTGTTTTCAATTGCCGTGATGTTGCGAGGACACAATTGAGCCCATTTTTCCAAAGTCAATAGTCGAAAGGGAAATGCTGACCAATTTTGGTAGGAATTCAAAATATTTTGTGTAATCAGAAGACATAATGATTTTAGCCATTTTTCATATGAGATCCTTTCCTTTCAAAATGAATCCTACCTTTTCCCCATTGCGTTTTCATTTTAGAAGAGGCTGACCGAATATGGTTACTACTCATATCCTCATTTCTTATTCTGTTTGTCCGGGAAAGATTCCTTTGTTGTTTTGAAGCAGTTTGAGAGGATTATAGTTTTTCAGTGTATAGGCTTTGTAAAAGAAATGGCTAACATACAAGATTTGCCTATTGATATCCATAGCGGCAAGCTTCTAGGTACAGTTTCTTTTGCTTCTCTTCCAACTTTTATGCGAGTTGCCGTTCCTCAATGAAAAGAATAACAATGAACGAAGGACAAATTTAGATTGGTTGATAAGCCGAAGGCATTGTCAAAAGGATTGGCAAAAGAATGTGCTGGTAATTAGAGAAAAGATCAAACATGCAATTTTGGACATGCCGGAATCAGAGGAAGTTGTTCAACTTCTGCAAGGCACTTGTGAGTCTTCTTCGGCTTTCTTTTCGTCGCTCTATAGTAATGAATTTGTCAACTCTCCAGATATAAACTATTTCCACTGCCAACGAATCATCGAAATTTTACGAGAGACTGAAAAGGATTCGAAAAACTTCCTGGGATTCTACTCGTCGCAACGAATGAAGGATTGGCAGGTATTCCTGCATCCTTACGTTGTCATTTTTGAGTCTAATCTGTGATACATGACCGCAACCAGGGTAGAAGGTACTGCTTCGTGCTATCAGGTTAGGTGTATTAGGTGAGGGTGGGTTTGAATTTTGTAAGATGGGGATTGTAACTTAGTTACTAGTTTAACTGTGAACACGGAAAACTTTAAAACCTTTTCCCAATGGTCCTTAAAGTTGGATGCTAATGTGGCTTCCGAAAAGCCGTATTCTGGTCAAAGCAACTAGTAGTTGATGGTTGAAGATTGTTGATGTTTGTTTTATTAGCATATCAATCTAGAAACTTTCAATCGACTATTCATACCTATTTTAGGAAATAGAATCATTGTATAAGAAGAACAATGTTTACCTCGCTGAAGCAGCTCAGGTACTTTTATGGATTTTCACATTTGGTGAGATGCCCTAACCCTATCTTTTGCGAATTTTGTTTGAAAAAGGTAGTCTCTAGCCATGTAAAGACTGCTGTCTTGTGCAGAGCATTGTAAAATACAGCCTTGAAGATTCTACAACGTCTTGTGCAATATGAGATCCCTGCTCAGAAAAAGCAAATAACCAAAGCGGAGCAAGTTCTTGCGGTGCGTGATCCTTTCCCACCTTTTAACGTTAGACTTCCTTATTGTTAGACTCATGGAATGAAAAGAAATAACTTTGTAGGATAGTGTCAGGAAAGAAAAAGAATATGGTAAGCAGGCGGAAGATGGTCGAAAATTATACGCGAAGGAACTACAGCGCATGGGAATTCAGGTAGTTGCAAGCTCGTTGATCATTTCTTGTTTGAAAGTTACACCATGAGGGATAGTATTTGTTCGAATTTGTCCAAACCTCCTCTTTCGCTCAGGGACATGCTCTCCGTGCGGAGCTCCTGGCTCTTGCATCTGATCTTCCTTCGTTTTTCACAAAGATAACAAACGACATCATTCATCTCAAGGAGCCATACGAGTACTATGTTCATTTTCGCAACTATATTCATCAGTGAGTGCATGTTTCATGACCTATTCACTTCCATTTACTGTAACGTACATCATTTTCAGAGGTAAACAACTATCTGGAAAGCCACTACCCTTGTTATCTCTTTTATTGGAAAAAGGCTCTTCACTGACAGCGTTTGAATTCAAATATGGCATTTGTCCAACAAGAATTGAGCTGCCGTCTTATGACCTCTTGCTCAAGGAAGATGAGGTGAGGAATTTTCATGACCACCTTCCTTTTCCACTGATCTCCGTTCCTTCAAGAAGAAAAGCGATGATGAGATCGACTTCGGCGATGAAGAAATCGACTTCGGTGGTGTTGAAGACGTTGATCTCACTGGAGAAGATGCACACATAGATATTGTTGCTGACACTAAGGGTATGTTGTAGGATAGCTTTTCGTCATTATTTAAGTCTATGAAATGCGCAGTACTTGAGCTACCGCTATAGGTGCCGTTGGAGAGTCTGTAGCGGTTGGTGAAGATGCATTAGGTGTAGTGGAAAACATGGAAACGCAGAAGGTTGTAAAAACTGAACTGAACGAGGTAAGTTTCTGCGTTGAAGCTGAACAGAGTTCCCTAACTCTTTGATGTTTTTATAGCTATTGGCGTTTCTTTCGATGCGGATGGATGACGAAGAGCGAGATACCTCATCGGACATGTTCATCAGAGGATTCGAAAAGAGGCCCATTGAGATTAGCAAGGTACGACAATGAACTTCCAGGTCCAGATTCCTCGTGTACCTTTGCGACGTGTTTCCTGAAAATCGGTTCCTGTGCGCCAATCGTAGACAATATCAGCAGTGAATAACGAAGTAACGAAATTTGCAGAAATTACGAAGCTGCTGTAAAAATCTTTGAGAACAGTTGATCAAGTCCTTCAGGCCGTTTGTTTCAGGTATCTCCACCGCATATAGGAGAATGGATTTCGCAGATTAAGTCGATACTCAATCAGTTAACTGATCAGCAAAAGACCCATTTGTTTCGCATAAGGACTTCGCCACAGTGAGTCCCACCCATTTGTCCCCTTCCGGAAAACTGTTTTTCAAAGTCGAGTCTGACAGATATTATGGAGGATTGCAACCGCTCTATAATATCGTTTTCTTTTTAAGAAGAAGTTTATATGGACCACTATATGTATATTGCAGGTATGTCGAGAAGTTGGTCGAAGAAATAGAAGCAAAGAAAGGATTGGAGGGACGATATAAGAAGTACGTTGCTTGAGCTTGTCGTTTAGCAAATCTTACGCTTCTGTTATGTTTGCATTATAGCATCGTTGACAATATCTAATTGCTTGAAATATTATAGCTCATTTGTCATTTCTACCCACTTTTCCGCGTTTCATCGACACTCCTTTTTTTCTTTACTGATCTCTTTCCTTGCTTCGCTGCACTGGCTTATTTTATTTTTTGTTTCAAAACGTCAGTTTTTTTCAAGGATGCAATCTCTCATGGTTGAGAAACAAAATGAAGCTCGCGAACAAACTGCAAAAGCTGGACAGTCTTTGCAAGCTCTTGTGACATCTACTAAGCTTCTTCAGAAGCAAGTGGGTGATGTTGCGAAGATTGTTTTTCTTATGTTTCAAGATTTTTCATATCGGCGTTATGCCTGAATATG